ATTTGGTTGAGACCTCTGTAGTCAATGCATGGTCTGAGAGTCTTATCTTTTTTGGCCACAAAGAAAAATCCTGCCCCTAGGGGAGATTTGGAGGGGTGGATAATACCGGAAGCTAAGGATTCGTCGATGTAGGTTTTCATGGCCTCTTTTTTGGGACCGGAGAGATTATAGAGGCGACTGGAAGGAAGTACTGAATCAGGTATTAAGTCTATGGCGCAGTCGTATGGTCTATGGGGAGGTAAGGAAAGTGCCTTACTTTTACTGAAAACATGCTAAATCATGGTAAACTTCAGGTATGGATGACAAATCTGTCTCTTCAACAGGTTCCTCCCCTTTAACGGAGACTGAGACAGRCGACTTTAAACAGTGTTGTAAGCAAAAGGTACTCCAGTTCTCGACCCTCTTTTCCTTCCAATTAATGACTGGGTTATGCAGAGACAACCACGGAAAACCAAAAATAATTTGTGGAGAAGTAGAGTCAAAAACAACAAACTCACCGAAGTCGTGGTGGTTTCCCGACAAAATCACATGCAGACTGGGGACAACTCTGTTGACCTGGGATTGGAGCTGTCCTGTGACGCCAGCGATAGAGCGAGGAGGATCGAGTGGAGATGTGGGAATTTCCAGTTGTTCCACCATGTCACTTGAGATTAAGTTTTGTTCGGCACCGAAGTCCACAAGGGCCGACATCGGTAGCTTGTTTTGCCCACAAACTACCGTAGCGGGAAGGAAAAACAAAAGAGTTAGGGGAGAAATTGTCCTGTCTCGTCAGCTTCCCCGTTCTACTGACGAGACTGCCTGTTTCCCCGCAGCGGACAAGTGGCGACGAAATGTCCCTTGTTGCCACAATAAATACAAATTTTAGCTTCAAACCGTCTCTGTCTCTCCTCTGGAGTCAGCCGTGTGCATCCAATTTGCATGGGTTCAGTGGAATTAGCAGCAGCTGTGGCGTTAGAAGGCGGAAACTCACCACCGACGAGGGGAGCGGGGACCCGAGGATTCTGGGAAACGTAGTTCCTTTCCTTCTTTCGTTCTTTCAGTCTGTTATCAATACGAATAGACACGGTGATTAATTCATCCAGGCTTCCAGGTTCATCCCGGGAGGCCAACTGATCCTTTAGTTGCTCCGACAAAGAATTTACATAAATACCTTTTAACGCTAGTTCCTCCCAGCCTGCCTCCTCGGCCACAATTCGAAAATCCACAGAGTGTTTAGCTGCGGACTTATTACCTTGTCGGAGGTTGATTAGCCGCTTCGCTGCCTCCTCCTGCTGGAGGGGATGGTCAAACACACGCTGGAATTCTTGAATGAAAAGCTGAGAGGTCAGAGTGTCAGAGGAATGTGCAGACAGAAATGTTTGAGCCCATCTGAGGGCTTTCCCCTGTAAAGCTGAAACAATATATGTCACTTGGGCTGAGTGGGTAGGAAACAATGACGGGGAACGAGCAAAAGCTAATCGACATTGGAGCAAAAAACCGGCACAGTGATTAATGTCTCCATCAAAAAATTCAGACGGATGGATATCTGGTTCTCTAGTAGTTATAGCTGGCAGTGGGGGGGGTGGCAGCTGGAAGTAAAACAGGATTGACCGGGAGAACAGTATTTAATTTACTATCAATGGCAGAAATATGTTGAGTGATTTGACTTAATAGTACTCTAGTTTCCTGTTGCGCTAAATATAATTGATTAAGTTTTTGATCATGATCCATAATCTTAGACTCGGGTTGACTAGTGGCTCCAAGGGTCTGATTGTCGGTAGTATTGCTCACGGACATTTGACTTGGCTGAAGCATACTATCAGGTTGGCAGGAGGAGGTCAACGTGAGCAAATACTAACAACAAACAGAGACTGAGACATTGGATAAAAGGTAAGTGAGTTTATTTATATAGGTGCAGGGATCTTGGGGATGGGACCTGAAACAGAGTTTAGGGTAGAGATGAGTAATGGGCAGACCTTCCGGTGAGAGTCTTAAACAGGAGAGTAGTTGAAGGTGTTGCTTACGGGCTGGAGAAGGAGATGAGTTTTGGGAGGAGTTGGTCCAAAAGGTGAGGTTCCAC